CCTGCCCTCCCTTCACCCCCTCCACCCTTCCCTATTTACAAAGACTTTGTTTCCATTTTTTTCCTTTTCTCATATTTTTTCTTTTCCCCTACCCCTCCCAATTCCCCTATTCAGTTAGGCCGTTTTTTCCTATTTCACAATATCAATTATACATTTTGATTCTTATTTACACTTTTAGTTTTCCACAGCAGAGAAACTATTTGGTATTTACACATGTGTGTCCTATTTATCTCACTTAAGAGTATGACCTCAATAGGCATCCCCTTAGCTACAAAGGTCTTTAGCTGAAACTTTTTTTTATTAGAAAGTGGTTTAGTAATGGAGTTGGAGATACCAAAGAATGAAATATTTAGCTCATTTCCAGAGAAATTTGTGCAGGGTATTAAGTCCAGGACCCTTGAGAACCTAACAGATAGGAAACAAAATTGATAGCCAAAATGCATGTAAACTATTATGATAAGAAATGTTCCAGTTTGAGATTACTTAAGAAATAAATATCTATTTATTCTCTTAAAAGGACTAATAGCCTAGTTATTTTAGACAAGATGAAAATAAATAAACAAGAAAAAGTATCATAGGTGGGGTTGGTTTTCACATTCATTATGATCATCAAATAATTATTTCCCAAGTTTATTATACATGGTATAGCAAAATAAGACAGAAAAAAGCCCTGGAGAGAAATCTTGATCCCGAGAGAAATTCTGATCCCAATAGAATTACAAAATATAAAGAAATACTCATTATGAGAAAATTCTGTCATTAACTACATTTAGTATAAATAGAAAAACACAAAAAATTAAACAGGAATCTTGGTTCTTACGAGAACTCTGAGGATCTAGAAAATGCTATGTATTGGCAAAGAGTTTGCATAAAGATTGTTTTTCTTCACTCACAAAATGTAGGTGATTATTCCTACAGACCACATGTCCACCTCAGGTCCATAGGCACAGCCTCTAAGAATTTCAGGTGCTGCAGAAAAAGGGAAAATTGCATTAAATTGGAACTTAGATTCAGCATTCATATTTTAATAATAAGCAATGAGGAAGAAACAAATTCATCAACCAAACTTAAGAACCTCTTCAAAATTAATTTTCTGTTTCTAAACCACAGTATGAAACTATAATTTCTTACATTTACTTTAGTAGGAGAGATTATAATCTGGTTGAGGTCTATAAAAATAATGCTATTAATTATAAGATTCTACATTGGAAGATCTGATATTGCTCAAATCAGGGGTATATCTCTGCTACAAAAGACCACTTACTTCAAAGAGAATTTTGTACACAGAAAAAGGAAAAATGAAAGTTTATCACAGTAAGTGGAAGAAAGTGCAATGATGCCATCTTGAGATCTAGATCAGTTCGGAGCAGGGGACATCCAGTAAATGTATCTAGTTGTATGCAGGGCAAGAATGAGGGCAGACAGTGGGGAAGGATGGACAATCTCTAGTGCTGTGAAGACTGGAGCAGGAGCTGAGAGCAGCCCTGTCGCATGTTCTGGCTCTGAGTGCTGCATGTAAGTCCCCAGAGAGAAGCTGAGCTCAGTTGGCTGGGAATCATAAACTGAAAAACTGAGACTTCCTGTACTACAAGGCTAGAAGGCTGCTTACAGCTCTGTCTACTGTTGTAAACAGGAAGGCCTTCTAACCTAGGAAATGGATCTAGAGTGGAGGAAAATGTGATATTTTATATTCTTATTACCTCAGAGCTGTGAAAATGGAAAGTTAAATGGGTCTGGTAGTTTGTACTGAGGGTTGGAGCTGTTATTGGTTTGCCTAACAAAGGGAGAGAAAGAAAACTGAGCGCTCTGTCATCTATGGAGTGACAGGACTCAGCCTATGGCCCACAGAAAAGATTCTTCTATTTTAAACAAGTGTTGTAGGTGCCTTTGGGCTCTCTGAGGACAGAGATGCTTTCTATATGCTAAGGGCTCTGAGAGGGAGCCCTTGGGGACAACAAACACATTCTTTCTCCAGGGTAGAGGCTGGAGAAAAATGAACTGGATGCTTTGTCCATACCAGCTAGAAATGAAATATTAGTGTAGACTGTCAATGTGAGTTCTGGAAGGAGGCTGTCCTTATGGGACTCAATTTACCAGAAGGATTATTGTAAATTTTCCATTGATTCCTTTCACATGTATTCTGTATGCCATCCTTTTCAATCAGGACTTTCTCTTCCCCATAGAAATTATGTCACATAAGATATAGGAGATGAGCTGGAGATTTAGCTCAGTGGTTCTGGCACCTGACTCGCAAGTGTAAGGTCCCAAGTTCGATCCCCAGTACCAAAAAAAAAAAAAGATATAGGAGATGAAGAGCCCATACTATGAAATGAAGGTGTGCACACTAAACAGCAATTCAGCAAGATGTACCCTTTAGGAAGCTATATCTGGACTCAAAATTTTTTTATCTACAGTGGAATTATTCCTAGAAAATTTTTCTTTTAAGATTTAATTAACAAAATTGAAAAAATGTGTGTTCATTGCCAACATCTTTCATTTTGTCAGGTTTTCTTTAATTTCCTGGGGCAATCTCTACCTCACAGAACACAGAACATCTCCGAGCACCAACAGCCCCCACAGTGAACTCCCACTGCAGATGCTTTATTTATCATGGTGCAAAGGGAGCTCAAATTAGGCTGCCACTTCCAGGGGGGATGCTGCTGCCTATCTTTGTCTCTGGGAGCTGTTCCAGACAGGGAGCTGAACATATGCATATTTAGCAAGAATGTTTAGTGTGCATTAGTTCTTCCTCACTCAAGTCTTCACATTAGTGAGTCTTATCTCTTATCTCATCTGAAATGTTATCAAGACCCGTGCTGACATTTAATCATAAATACAGAAATATATTGAGAAGAGTCTTTTATATTTAAGGAATCTTGGCTTTTTACCTTTAAATTTAAGTTAATTGGACTAGATGATTTCTGAGTTTACTTTGAGTTTTTTTTTTTTTTTTTGTACCAGGCATTGAACTCGGGTCCTTGCACTTGCACAGCAGGTGGCGAAACCACTGAGCTAAATCCCCGGCCCTACTTTGAGTTTTAACCTACCATCCACTGTGATATTCATAAAGGATTATTGACCAATCAAGCAAGAAGAAAGGACAAGCACAAGCATCCGAACCTGTAGAAACTGCTGCATTTCCCATTTATTCTGTAATGGCTACAGTATGTGCTGCCCACCAGGAACTCTTGCTATTGGCTCTAGTGAAATTAATCCTCTCATCTGTGCTAGCCAGAGAGACATCTTGGCAACGTCAGGTGTTTTCTGTGTTCATTTCTCGCATTTCCCAGCCTAAGAGCATCAAAGAGCATGAATATGTTGAACAAAGTACCTTTTGGATCCACTCTACAGGCATATGAGTTTCTCACCTAACAAGTCAATATCTGATTATCCTTCACAGCACTGGGTGCAAACATATTTTTTGGAGGCGATTTATTTCCTTGTAAGGCATTATGTTGTAATGTGAGTAAACTTGTGGTGTGAAGGACTAAAATTCTTACACTGAAGATAACTGAGACAAAAGGAATATAAAATATCCTTGCCCTCCATAATTTCTCTTCTAAAAGATTTTCTTAAAGAAAAGAACATAAGGTATTTTAATCAGAATATAAAATTGGGGTAAAAAAAGCCTACACATCAACACTGAATTAGCATTTAAACATTTTCAAGTACTAATTGTTAAGACCTTTCTTCAGAATCAGCAGAATAAACTATTGTAAAATGTATCTAAACCTTCTCCAAGAGTCAAAAGCTTTTCATATAGCTTTCCAAAATAAATTTCAGGCTCTGGCACTCCAGTGCTTCAAGTCTCCTAGACATTAAATGTCCTCACATGTGATTCTACTAACTTATAATTGTTACGGTGGAGATCTAGAATGTCTCCCAAAAGTCTCATGTGTGTAGAAGTTGGACTTTTAAAAGGTGATTTGATCACGGGGCTGCTATACTCACTGATAAGTTCATAGCAGACTGTGCTATTAAGAAGTGGGGCCTGGTTGGAGGAGGCATGTCACTGGGGCCATGACCTGAAGAATATATTCTTGTCCCTGGCCTTACCTCCCCCTACCCCTCTGGCTTCCTGGCTGCTATGAGGTAAGCAGCTTTCCGTAGCCATGCCCTCCCACCACACCAATTTTGCCTTGAAGCCAGATGACCATGGGCTTAATTTCCCCAAATTGTGAGCCAAATTAAACTGCTCTTCCTTTAAGTTACGTTTGTCAGGCTTTGTATCCAGCAATGGAAAAGCTGACAAAGACAGAAAATTGGTACTGGGCAAGGGAGCCATTGCTGGGACTATACCCGATCATATAGTTTCAAAACATTTTAAGTTTGCAGGAGGAATTTAGAAAGGTTTGAAAATGCAGGTTATTCACCAACTTCCCATGATGAATGTAATCATGTATAACAAACGTGTACCAGTAAAAATAAAGAGAAAGAAAATTTGGGCTTAGGGGTCCAAGAATGGTACAAAAAGAGCAAGATGTGTGACTCCAGTTGAAGTGCATAAGACCACAATGTTGAAGAAACGTGGAAAGTAAGGGGCAGGCACATGAAGTTGTCACTGAGAACAAGCACTCTATTGGAAAACGGACTAGAGGTTATGTGTGTTCCATTCTAGCAAGGGACTTGTGTAAACTTTGCCCATGTTTTGACACTTTGCTGTAGACTGAGATTAAGGATTGTGGACTAATTAATCTGGTGGAGAAAATTTCAAGAGAGCCCAACATGCAGTCTGTGGCATTTGGTTTTAGTCACATTTATAGTGAGAATCAGAAGCAAAAGGTGAGCAGAAAAGTTTGAAAATTTTAAAATTTGGCCCAGAAGGAACCATGCATAAAGTTGGGGCAAAAGTAGGTGTGGTTGTTGAAGAGACTGACACCATTAAAAAGGAGTCAAGTGGGGGCCGGGGATTTAGCTCAGTGGTTTCGCCGCCTGCTGCGCAGGCGCTAGGACCCGAGTTCAATCCCCGGTACCAAAAAAAATAAAATAAAAATAAAAAATAAAAAAGGAATCAAGTACTTTTCATCACCACAATAGGAAAGATACCTTAAAGGCATCTCAGGAAATGGCTAGACCCACCCATTTTAGGCTCAACTGTGTAAATAGATAAACTATATTGAAAGACTTTGCTTTGAGAAGAGAGCTCCAGGGTGCCCTGCTCATTCAGGGCCACCCATGGAAGTGCTTCCCCAAGTTCAGCTCTCCTGACCCACAGAGCCCTCTGTAGCCGTGGTCTAAGGGGGCCCAGGCTACTTACTGCTCAACCTGAGGGCAGATGCTAGCATCATCCATATGGTGCTGGCTTTTTTAGGCATGCAGAATGTAAGAGTTGTGGGGTCATGGAGATTTCCAGAAGGCTTAGGAGGCCAAGCAATGTGCTCTTGACAAGCTGATGCATGAATTACTAGAATAAGCTAAAGGTATGGTGGAGACGCAAGTTGGAGATGCCAGGAATATGGATAATTTGCTGAAAAAAGCCACAGGCAGTAAGTGGAGCTACCCCAAGTGAGATGGCTGAAACTGGCAATGCCATGGGGCAAGGTCACCCAAGTCCTTTGAGGTTCACATCCTACCACAACTTGCCCAAGTCGATGTGATGAAGATGCAGGATTTAATGTTTGCCCTGGTGGGTTTTGATCTTGCTTTGATCCAATTTCTTTCTATCCTCCTATTTCCTCCCTTTTGGAATGGGACTGTTCATCCTGTGCCATTACATTATGTGCTATGCCACACATAACATCCCGTGCATGTTAGAAGTATTTAACCTTCTTTTTATTTTTACAGGGGTTCACAGCTAAGTTGCCTTTGGTTTTGTCTTTTTCAGCAATGCTGGAAATGTTAAGACTGGCAATTCTTTGAGAGGAGCTAAATGCTTCTTGAATTTGAGATAAACATGAGCCTTTTGGGGGGCAGAGGTAGAATGTTTAGTTTAGATCTAGAATGTCCCCTAAAAGTCTGTGTTCAGAGGT